TGCCGGCGCAGGGCGTCCTGGACGCCCTCGTCTGCTGAGGGGGGTAGTCTATAAGGCACATGCTGGTTTTCTTCTGGTGTGCTCCATTAGCCATTGTATGTTTGCAATGTGGTCCCTCGTGCCTCTTCCTTTTCTGAACCCTGCTTGGACCTCTGGGATTTCTCTATCTATGGTTGGAGTTTATGTTGCAGAATTTTGAGCATAATTTTGCTTGTGTGGGAGGAGGAGGAGGAGGAGAAGGAAAGAAAAGAAAAGAAAAGAAAAGAAAAGAAAAGAAAGAAGAGATAAACATTGCTTTCATTTTGGCTCTGGGAAGGAAGACCAGGATGAACAAGAGAAATTCTTCTTTTAAAGCTCTGTAGCTGGCCTCCAGATTTCAATTTTGGTAAAATAGCCATGGGAAAAACACATGTAATAATTGTTTCCCAGCTGAGAAAACAAGTTTTCCAACAATCTGGAAGAACAATAGACCAGTGAGAATAATGTACAATTTTCTTCTGGTATTTGAACATCCTGAATTATCTGCAGAGAAAAACACATGGAGTGTTGTTGTATTATCTGCAGAGAAAAACATATGGGGTATTGTTGTATTTTGGCAGCCCACCTCCACCCCCTGTTTTCTGTACAGAAAATGGATTTTCGGAGCAGAAAACACTTTGCAAAACAACTGTTTCCTGCACAAAAGAAAGATAAGCAGTTTTGCTGTGTTTTGTTTAGAAAAACTTGGTTGTTGTTGTTTTTTCCCCTCTGCAGAATAATTCATCTGAAATAAGAATTTGCTCAAGTACAGGGAGAAAATTGCAGAGGAATATTTATTTTCTTCCTCGGCAGGGAGAAAAATACCTTAATCACTTATCATCACATAGAAGGAAGGAGGGATCAATGATTTTTACATTGGCCACTTTAGCTGTGGCTTCTGAGAGCCGAAGTTCAAAAGAAATGGTGGACGAAAGGTTGGGAAGCTTATGCATATTTATTTTGTACCTTTATGCCTAATGACGAGTTCTGGGATAACCAAAAAATTCATGCTGCCTTTCTGCTACTTACACAACACTTTATTTATCCTAAAATATTAATCAAAGTGATTACCCTTCTCTTGGGTCCCATGTTGGGGGAAAGGTAGGATAGAAAGAAAATAAATTAAAGTTAAATGGGCTAAGCTGGTACAAGGAGAGGTTAAATGCTAACTGGATTTTGTGCAACGTGGAGACAGGGCTCATTTTGAGTTCTTTTTCCATGTCTAAATCCAGCTTTGCATAGATAACAACCCCAGCGTATTGAACTCTGGATTCGCTGTCAATTTGGCTGCTTCTTTGGGATTTGTGTGGGCTTTCCATGCCTACATACATCTGTTCCTCTGGAACTCCCTCCCACAAGAAGCTCTGCTTATGATGGCAGGCAAAGACTTTGTTAAAGAGTCTTGGAGAAAGACGCTTTAATGGGGAGGAGTGATATACTTTTATTAGTGCTGTTTTTAATAGGATAGTTTATTTAATTATATACACACACACACACATACAGTGGGCCTTTGGGTATTCTCTGGGGTCTGGTTCCAGGATCCCCCATGGATACTAAAATCCATGGATGCTCACATCCCATTCAATACAATGGTTTGGTAAAATGGTGTCCCTTATATAAAATGGCAAAACCAAGGTTTCCTTTTTTGAAATTTACATAGATATGTTTGAACATTTTCAAGCCGTGGATGGTTGAATCCATGGCTAAGGAATCCATCAATACTGGGGACCAACTGTATATTTTAATGTAATTGATTATTTATTTTAAAAATTATCTTTTTCATTTATTTATTGATATCCTGTCTTTCCCCCAACATTGGGACACTACAACATCAGGCGTACAGAACACTGAACCCAGAACTTACTAAAAGCATATAAAACCATCAGTTAACTATATAGATGGGTACATCTACACTGTAGAAATGATGCAGTTTGACACCACTTCAAGTACTGTAGCTTGGTCCTGGGTTTTGTGGTTTTGCAAGGTCTTTAGCCTTCTCTTCCAAAGAGTCCTGGTGCCTAACCAAACTACAAATCCCAGGATTCCATAAGATGGCTCTATGTCAGTAAAAGTGGTGCCAAACTGCATTATTTCTACTGTGTAGATGCACCCTTTGTGTGTGTCATTTTAAAATGCAATTAAACCAGGGGTAGGCAACCTAAGGCCCGGGGGCCGGATGCGGCC